GTGTTTTTCCTCCAACACTTTCCACTGATTCCACCTTGTGTTCCCTGGAGGCTCCTGTGTAATTTGGTAATTTGTCTGCAGCTACCTTTCAGAATTTCTACAACTTTTTGAAGGAATGCTGTCGTACAATAGGCTTGTGTGGCATTACTTTACAGTACAAAAAGTCTCCAGAGGCTTAGCTTACCCATGGTGCATCAGTATGGAGTTACAGTAACATTGAAGGGTTTGGGTTACAGGATAATGACAGCCGATGGTCCCTCTGGTTGCCATCATGTTTGAGGAATTCCCCCATTTTGGGCCTTTGTTGAAGTGTCATTGCAGCGGTGTCACCTTTGCATAGGGTAACATTATATTTACACGGTCCATATTCACAGAGTGGCAATTTTTTCTATGACATCATGCAGAGCGTGGAAAGTTTTAAGTCTGTTAAATGAAGTCCTGCTGCGCTCCCTCGGGAAACAACAGTCTTTAACCTCTTCTCTGATAGCTAATAACACTCCAGAGACGCTCCTTCGATGCTGGTTGGACAGTAAATGCTTGAATGGACGCCACTTCAAGTCTTCTTCATTGCTCAACATTATCTACACGAGAAGTTACCTTTGCTTTCATGGATTGTAATGTCAGAGTAATGTCTGAGTTAGCTGCAAGATAACAGGTTACAAAACATGTTGCATGATGTCTTATGAGATTTTAGTTAAGCCTTTGATCGGTGTGAATATACTTATTTGAAAACAGTATAATGCTGTTAGTCCAAAATCCTGCTGCTCGTCTTTTAACAGGTAAACGAAAACATGACCACATCACTCCTATTCTGGTATCTCTCCATTGGCCTCTCCATTCATTTTAGAATTCATTTTAAAATTTTATAGTTTGTTTTTAAATCTTTAAATGGATCAGCACTCTGACCTCTGAAATGTTTATACCCTCCACGTTTCTTGAGGTCTGTAGAGCAGCTCCAACTCGTGCCAAAAACTCGTTTGAAAACCCGTGGCGACCGAGTTTTCTCGGCTGCGATTCCCAAATTGTGGAACGAATTTCCACTTGAGATTAAAAAATCCCCCACTCTTTCTACTTTTAAATCATGTCTTAAAACTTATTTTTATTCTTTGGCTTTTAACTCTGAATAAGAGTTGTGTGATCTCTGTCCTTTATGTCTTTTATGGTCCTTTTATCACTTTTATTTCTTTTATGCTTTTCATTTCATTTTAAATGTTTTTATTTATGTGTTTATTTATTTCCTCTTGATGTTTTCTGCAGTGTCTGTTCTTTTAATTTTACTGTGCAGCACTTTGGTAGACTTAAATGTATTTCAAATGTGCTATATAAATAAAATGGATTAGATTGGATTGGATTTATGATACTTTTTACCAGCTAGAATATCGGAGGAGCTGGAGGAAAAATAAAATCAGACCTCCATGATAAACCACATCTCAGTTCCTGAGTGACAGTACATAAGGGGCTTTGGGTTAAAGGGGAAGACCACAGGACATAAAGACAAGTCAGTGCCTAGTCCATGACCAACCATGAGACCCTGCTCCACTGATACGTCCTGTCACCCTTCTATACAAATCCTCCTGATATCTGCTATGCACACGCTTACACTCAGAGGCAGGCTACAGCTTGAACTTGCTCTGTCACTACACCGTACCCAGATTCCTACAGAGCGGGGATGGGGCCCCATGGGGACCCTTATCGCCAAAGCAAAGGGTCATCAATCAAGTCCGGCTCAGTGGGGACATTAGGGGTAAAAGGCAGAGGAGGGACGGACGAAATCGGGCAGGAAGACGTAACAGGGAGAGACAGAAACAGACAGTGGGAGGAGGAGGAGGGGAATGTTACAGAGGCAGATTGAAATACAATGAAGAGAGAGAAAGAGGCAGAGCCGGCCTCTCTGTTTGTTTAGGGTCTGTCATTGTGTCGTTGTGGTAGAGGGGTTACGGGGTGTCTCTTGGACACTGGGGGTTGCCGTGCTCTGTTGACGGCCCTGCGACGGAGCATATGTCACCAGTCTAGCGCGAACGAGGGCGCTGCCTCTGCTGGGGCACACGTCATTAGCACCATCTGTGACAGTACCCATGAGGCCCTGGTGCGCACAAATATGCTGGTTTGTTTTTTTGGGGAGGGGGTGGAAAACGAGGGAGGAAGGGGTACTTTCTGTAGACGCGAGAACCCTGATTCTTGGAGGGTTGTTGCTGCTCAACTAGACCTGGTATTAATGGAGGAGGGGGAGAAAGTACCAGTATGATGTGTGAAAGTGTGTGGAAAGCATGATGAGGGGTGCATTTGTGATTCAACATGGTGTCATGCAAACTTACCAGCGAGTCCAGGACACCAGTATGGCAATGATTACAGCCCTTTGGGAGGGAGGGCATGACAGGCCCCGGGTCCGCTCTCCGCAGTCGCGTTTACTCCAGATAGAGGAAATGCTGGAATAATAAGAACAGGAAGGGTAAATGGCCTATCAAACACACCCCTCTCTGACCTCCCCTGAGCCCGGCCGACGAGGATGAAAGATCCAACCACTTTCTTCTTCTTAATGGTTTCCTCGGTAATCAGCGTAGCGGAAGTGCTCCAGTCCAGGGTGATTAGCCAGGGCTAGGATTCCTTAATCGCCCCGGCCCTGTTCTCATGCTTTGAAAAATAAAGGAGGGAGTGGGAAGGAGGGAAGAGGAAGCAAGGGTGATAACAGGACCGTGTGTGTTTAAAGGAAAAGGGGGAGAGATGTTTGGATACAAGACGACTGGGGAAGGACACAAACTGAAAAACTAGTCAATACAAATTTGGCCTGTTGGGTTAAGATGAAATAGTAAGGTGTAATTTTAATGTAATCAGGATGAATCATTGGTAAGTGGTGAGCTAAGTTCATTCTCTAGAAAAACACTTTCATGAGGTGACTCTTAATCTGCTTGAACATGAGCTCCCAGACTGTAATGACTCACAGAGGCCGACAATGAGATGATCCCAGCAATGGGCATGGATTTACCGTATTTATTCAGGATGTGTTTCATTTTTCCTTCTTCTTTTAATCTCTTAAGAGAGTTTTCAGCAAGACAACACAGTTTTAAACCCTCCACAGTGTTTGGCTGTGTGGGGATTGCTTGTCATCACTGTGATTTAGCTGTGGCTTCCACTTTAAACAAGTCAGGACAGGAACAACGCTACCAGGAGCAAAACTTCAAATATGACAGATTCGTAGATCCTATAATGAGAACGGATGAATGTTTTTCTTCACGTGTTCACATAATTTCTCACTTGAATCACTCAGAGTTAGTTCTGATTTGGATTAGTGTAGTGTAGTCTTACAGCAGGTCTAGCATTGAATTGGGTGGTAAATTCCTCAGAGGGTAAAATGAGAGCCTGTCTGTGGGCTGATGGTGACTGATGCTGGGGTCAGAGTATTTACCCAAGCCACAAAAATGGCAGACTGCATGACTCACAGTTACAGACAGCACACTTTCAGTTCCCACAGGTTGCAGCTTTAACCAGCTATCGGCCCGTCTGTTCTTTTCAAGTTTACACATCATGAATAATCTTTTTTATTTTTTTGTTATACCAAAATCTCAAAATAATATGCAAATACTTCAAATTGAGCCTAATTTACTGGCAGCCTTAACGTTACAGAAAGCATCTCGATAATCTTAGTACAATCTCATCACAAATAAAGTGTTTGCAAGTGTTAATGAAAGTGTATCGTTTCAGAGTTTGCTGCATGTCTTTCCTGTAGATTGTCATTTACATCGATCAGCCTTGCTCTGCAGACAAACCATGCAACTAGGAACAAAAACAAACATTGGGTCCATCTGAAATAACTGATTAACCATCCAACAATCCAAGTTTTTATATGTTTACATTATGCATCGATTGTAAATCCTAGTTTGCAGACTCTTAAATTATGTCAATCAAGATCAGAAATATATGTAATTTGAATAATTTGAACACCGCCTCGAGCTGTAGTAACTCTATGTAATTAGACTTGATTAAATGTGTTACAAAACACAACTTTTTTACACAGCAATTTAATGTTAAAAAGAAAAGGTGCATTGTTAGTGTATCCAGATATAGGGAATTGGTAATTTCCATTGTTAGCGTGTCCCTTTATCTAAAATTACTGAATCAGCTTTAGCTAAATTTTTAATCCCAACAGCACCAACCTGAGGCCGAGGGGAGCATTATACCAGCTGACATCTCACCAAGCTGACTTACTGATAACCATGTGTCAGAATTTAAAGCGCCACGGCGAAACAGTATCAGTTTAAGGCGCCTTTGTGGTCCTCTTTCAGGAGCCACATTCTTACCGCCATGATACTCCAGTCAGTTTGCCTTCACTGATATATCCCCTTGCCTTTAATAGAGTGTTCAGTTTCCCGTCAACAATGACAATGTACAGTGGCAACATTCTTTAAACATACCTTAATACACAAACACCCAAGCCAGTTTGACAGAGCGGGGATTTATTTTCGCGCAGGAATTCCCCTGCCGAGCGCTGATGCTCCTTTAGTTCCCACCTGGTCAAACCTGCTTGTGCCTTTTATTGTGTTTGCTACTATTTTTCAGAGATCACATTACAGCAGCCGCTTTCTTAAATGTCTTTCGTAACATGAACATGCTTACAAATAGGTATTGTATGAGTCCACTTATGTGCATGACAATAGGTGACCCCACCTGGGCTTTTGTCTTAGCTGCTGCAGAGACTTGGCGTCTCACAGTGACACTTCTTATGTGTCAGCTGGAAGGAATTCCCCTGTCCACACTTATAACATGGATTTCTTTAGGAATGAGTAGAAACAAAAGCAAGTAGCAATTAGTGCATGTTTACCTGGTGTGTTGAAGGACTGATCAGGTCTTGTGCACAGTTTTACTCTTTTATTCCACATTATTAAACTTGGGGATAAGCAGACATCTTTAGAGTCTGAACTACAATAAAAAGTTATAATTCTCAAATTTACACAACAGAATTTGAACATCTGTTAAGACGAGCATCACCATTGTTTTCTGTAAATTTATGCTGCGTTCCAGTCGTACTCGGAAGTCTGGATTTCTAAGCTCTGAGTCGGAAATTCATCTGGAAGGCCCCCCTGAAACCGGATTTCTGACTCCGGTTTCAGTCGGACGATCCCCGCCAACCCCGGCGTGATGACAACGTCATAATTCAAGATGGCAGCACAGTTAAGAGTAACAGTAAAAGCTCTCATAATGTTTTATTTATTAACACTTCTGTTTGGTTGTGGTGAAATTAATTAAATGGTTTCTGTTGTGCTGCCCAACATCTTACTGTGAACATGCTGCTATGGTGTTTGTAAGAGTAAATACTATGCTGCGTGTTGTCTACAACTGATATAGCTAACAATGACTAACAACAGATTACAATTGTTAACAACAGCTAACAACGGCTAAATGTCGGTGTCCATCTTGGTTTTCCGACTTGTTAACTGGAACTCGGGTGTGACGTCATTCCCAGCTCCGACATCTCACTTCTGAGGTAACTGGAATAGCTAGCAACAATTAACAACAGCTAACAATGGCTAACAACTGCCAACAACCGCTGACATCGGCTAACGATAGCTGACAATGGTAAACAACAGCTAACAACGGGTAACTGTAGGCTTGTTTACTGTAACGCCGTCAATTCAGGTGTAACGTCATTCCCAGCTCCCACTTCCAAGGTAACTGGGATGCACCATAATTCCTTTTAAATAGTTTTAAACCTGAATTAATGTTTTCAGTGTTGTGTGTGTTTTTAACTTAAAAAATACTTTAGGTGCTGCTTTTCAGAGCTGTAAAATTACAGTGGTGATACAACCCTTTGTCAAGAAAAATGCTTTGAAAGTATTGGGATCGCGAGATAAGGGACTTTCAGAACAGATGAGACAGAACAAAAGACAGTCGACACAGACATGAGGAGGGAGAGCTCGACAGACAGACACACCAGGCGTTTCTGTCTCACCATCCTGTAGTCAGTGAGCTGTCAGCGATCCTCCCTGCCTGCTCTATGGGTACAGCCCCGCAAGCGATGGCATTTCAAATAGCCTTATAAATCAAGAGTTATGTTATGTCACCCTGCCACTGCCATTAACACACAGAAGAGAAAACCACCAGTTTTTTTCTTCTGCTGCACACAGGGTTTATATTACTGTGTGCATCCCCTACTGAACCATTAATACTCGACTGCAGGCTCGTTCTCAGGCTGTAAGAGAAATTTGAGAAATTTATCCCCGTTGCGGGTCCAAGTCGCAAGAAAACTTACTTGCACTCTCTTTATCAGGTCACCTACAAAAAAAAGGCCCCTGACCCATTGTAGTTCCCAAACTGTAGTTTAAGTAATGTGCTCCCCTTTGTCAACAGTTACAGACAAGAGGTACTCCTGAGCAAGAGGATTTGACCTCTTATAGCTCCAGGCTAACCACTCGTTTGAAAACACGGTGAGGGTCCTGAAAAACAAACTGATCTTCAATCATTTCTGTATGATGAACAGGAAAAAAGAAATGTAGATCTATTATTTTGTATTGATTTGTTCATATTAAAGGCCTGTCTGTGTGAAGCAACACTCAGTATTTCACAAAAGCCTTTGTTTGAAAACCTTACGTGATTTACATGAGCCAAAGCGACGCCGTTCCCAAACAGCTTACCTTAATGATAGACAGATGGCAGAGGAATTCATTGCTACACCACTGTGCCTTGTGTCACCTTGAAAACTTTTTTTTTTCATGCCCCGTACGACCTTCTGCACCTGCTGCAAAACAGTTTCCCCCCCGAAAAATCAACTCATCCGTGCCACACGAAAGTCACGGTTGCCGGGGTTAAATATAGGATTCATGCACAGGGGGGGTAATCAGGAGTTCTCATCGCAGGATCCCACGAGACTGATCCCCGGCGTGTGACATGGCTGTCAAAACACTGACAGATTGTTTTACCAACACACGCACACACACACAAGAATGCAGCTACATGCGTGCACACAAACACATACGCACCGAATCACATCGACAGATTGTTTTACCAACTCCATCGGTTTGACTGACACCTATTCTCCTGGGTATCCTCTGAGCCCCCTGCTTTTAGGGGTAAATACAATCTAACAATTCTGCTGATTTGATAAAGCCTTGACTTCTTTTCAGGTGGCACTAAGGGTAAAAGCTAACAGTAGGAATAACAGAAATATACTGTAGTTAAGGTGTTATATTTTAAAATTATTATTATTATTTTTTTTTTGTACTGTTTTTAGTTTCAACTTTGCTTCTCTTCAGGTGGCACTAAGGGTAAAAGCTAACAGTAAAAATAAAAGGAATATACTGTAGTTGAGGTGTTATATTTTGAAACGGGTGTTTTTTTTTTACTGTTTTTAGTCTCAAATTTGCTTCAACATACATACAAAAACAAATAATAGGAATTCTGCTGATTTGATAAAGCCGAGATGTCTCTTCCGGTGGCACTAAGGACAAAAGCTAACAGTAAAAATAACAGTAATATACTGTAGTTGAGATGTTGTATTTAGAAATTAGTGTTTTTTACTGTTTTTAGTTTCAAATTTGCTTCAACACACAGTAGGTCGATACATACAAAGACAAATAATAGGAATTCTGCTGATTTGATAAAGCCTAAATGTCTCTTCAGTTGTTACTGAGGGTAAAAGCTAACAGTAAGGCTATCAGGAATATACTGTAGTTGAGGTGTTGTATTTTAAAACAAGTGTTTTTGTTTTCACTGTTTTTAGTTTCAAATTTGCTTCAACACACATTAGGTCGACACATACAAAAACAAATAAGTAAATTTTGGGAGTTTAATATGCAAAAAAAAAATTCATGTATATCATTTGAGTCTTCCTTCGGGTTTGTCAGAGTGAGTGAAAACAGACATGCAACACTCAGGTGCCCTGTTGGATTGTGTCAACCATTCCTCGAGCCAACACTGCGGCCTTTCGAACATGTCAAAAATGTAATAACCCTATTAAACCACACTGACATATGACAGTTAATTCTGTGTCCATATGTCACTATGGAGAACATATTGGTTAAATGCTTCCTGGGACAGATGCTACTTTGAGGCTAATCAGTAGTAATTGATGGTCCAATTGGGTTAGAGTGGCTTTGCTCTGGCCAGTGTCTGTGGCCTGGAGCTGTTGGGAGTGGGCGGGCACAGGAATGGACACACACTCAGACACGCTCCTGTGATAGCTTTGCCAGCACTTCATAAAGTGTTTGTGGACCATGAGGACAGGACACCTTGAGTACCATATGATGGTAGTTTGTGGAGACGCTGTCAGACATCATGACATCAACGCTCTCGAAAGATTTGCACCGTACAAGAGTGAAGTTATACTTTTGAAGGAATGAAGTCATAAGAGAAAACTGTTGTAAATGCACATGAAAGAGTTATAAATTGAAGAGAATAAAGCCTTAAGTTGAAGCTCCTGTAGGTAGTTTTTGGACATTTGTGGAATAGAGTGAATTTAGGCCCATTAGCAACAAGACTGACGATTTTTATCCTGTAATGTTAAATGCCAGAAACTGGTGTGAGGGGGTTGGTGTCAACCGAGAAACAGAAACAGTTCTGTTTTTGAAATTTCTGTACAATATTTATGACAAACACATATTTCAAGATTAGTTTTAACTCTTCTGTGGGGTACTTTCAGTTTCTGTCGATTTCGACACCACCTGTAGTCAATGCAGTCCATGTTTATCTTATTGTTTAGATGCTCAAGTAGTGTCCTCTGACAAAAAAAGTCATCTTTGATGGTAAAATGTTTGATTTATTGTAATTTTTTTGCAGGAATTAAAAAAAAGCTGTTGGGATGGCACCTACCCCCTCACACCAGTTTGAGGCATTAAAAACAACATCATAAAAATTGTCAGTGTCGTTGCTAACGCTCTTGTTTCCTCTGGTATGTGATCAAAGGGCATCTATATGAACTTTGGTCTATTTTATACATGCAAAAAAACCTCCTCACTGGAGCTTTAACAAGATTGCAGTTGTGATTTTATGACACTATAAATTCAGATAACACAAAAATAAGAGGTATATTAAAATAAAAGAGTTGCACACAGAGCACAGTTAAGTAAGTGGACTGATCCTCTCATCTATGTTTACCAGCAGAGCTCACACAGAGTACCCTGCAAAAATCCCTCCAGACTTTTCTAAATGAATAATCTGTAAATGAGGACGTGGAAAAACACTGTAATGATGCCCGGCGAAACATTTGACATCCCATCCTGTCATGTTCTGGAATGGCCTTCAGACTTCACTTTGTTGCATTATACATCAACCCTTAGCTTACATATTAGATCTGCAATCCAGGGGCAAATATTTTCAATTGTGGGTAGGGGGTTGATTTTTATGCTCTGGCAATTTGATACCACAGCACTTGAGAGTTATCGGTGGAGTGGCCGTAAGCTCCGGAGCAATTCATAATTGTGTTCTCTCATCTTGAGCTGCAGCAGCTGAAGTTTTTTATTTTTTTATTTTTCTCCTGAGCAGCACACACACACACACACACACACACACACACATGCACAACACCCACACAAACAAATACACCCACACATAATCACATAGATGTCTCATCCCAGCACTTTTTTGATGATACATTAAATGGTGTAAAGTTGCATCTTGCTATGTGTGCACATGTTTGCATGAGTGTGTATGTGTGTGTGTTTGAAGCGGGGTCCCTCCACCTGTGCTGGTTGGGAGTTAATCCGGTTAGGTCCCAGTCTCGTCTCTGCGGCTGAGCGGTGTGGTTGAAGCCTCACAGTGCCCTGCGGGGGCCTGAGGCGCCTCTCCAGCCCAACGCCTTGGCTTATGCGTGGCGCGGTAAGGAGATGAGGCCGGCTCGGCCCTCGTTACAGAAATTAGATGGATCAGGGAGTAAACATAACCAGCTTTTATATGATCCTCAGCTCAGAGTCGGCAGAGAGCGGGGAGGATGGAGGGAAGGGATGGGAGGGAGAAAGAGAAGGCGAGATTCCTCCTCTAATTACTTCATGGGTCACTGCTCCTGCAGGCAGATGTCAAAATCCAACACTTTCTGATGTGAGCAGAGCGCTGGAGAATGGGAGGGAGAGAGGAGGGAGAGAGGAAGCCGAGCTAGAGAATGAGGAAAAAAGGGGAACGTAATGGAAACAGGAAGAATGATGAGATCCTGTAAAAAGAAACAGAGAAAATGAGGAAGAGGAGAATAATATAGTGTACCGGAGGACAC